TCTGAAGGAGGGGCCCTCTGGAGACCATTCCACCTGGGTATCCATCCCATGAGCAGTCACCAAAGGTACATGCAGACATGGAAGTCACGAAGTGCATGCTGATAAGTGCCTGATATAGATGTCTCCTTAGAGGTTTGCAAGAGTCTGACATATTCAGAGGCAGATGCTCACAGCTAGCCATTGAACTGATCATGGGGTTCCCAATGGAGGAGTTAGAGTGAAGACTGTTGGAGCTGAGGGGGTTTACAGCTCCATGAGGAGAGCAACAATACCAACAAACCAGAGGTCCCAGGGTCCAAACCACCAGCCTGGGAGCACTTAGGGAGGGATCCGTTGCTTCAGCTGTATAGGTTAGGGGGGAGGACCCTGTCAGGCATAGATGGGAGAAGAGATCCTTGATCCCATGAAGGTTGGATGTCCCACTGGGTGGGAATTTGAGAGTGGGGCGGTGGGAGTGGGGGGTTAGGTAGGGGTACTTCTGCAGAGAAGCAGAAGGAGGGGTGAAGGGATAGAAGTTTCCTGAAGGGAGAATGGGGTAAGGGGATAACATATGAAATGTAAATATAACATCCAATAAAAAAAACTAAAAAAGATATGTTAATATAGTTTTTAGTCAGTATACAGTATAGATTTAAATGCAAAACTATATAAATGAGGTATGTAACATTTGAATAATTTCATATGTGTAAACAAAGTCTTACAAACACATTATCCAGTGCAATCACCACTACGTATTTCATGATGAAGCATCATAGGGGATCCAAACTACCCAAAATAAAGCAGTGATAGGGAAATAGGGTCCTTATTTCCAAGATTTATTAGAGATTCATATTTTGAGAAAACATTGCATTTCATAAATATGTACAATTCATATATGATAATTTAAAATGTTTAAATTCAACACATTTTACTTGATATTTTATCATTTTATTCATTTAGTGAGTTTAAAATCTGCATCATGTAGATCTTTAAACATTCATTTTAATATATTTTAACATGTGCAATATCTTTATTTATTTATAATGATCAGATTTACTTTTATTTTTTCTCACATTTTTCTTTATTTGCTCAATATTACTACCTATTGAGATCCATGTTCTGTGTCTTTCTGTCTCTGTCTTTCTCTTTTTCTTCTGTGTGTGTTTGTGTATTTAGAAAACAAATAGGAAAATTGATAAGGAATATAAACAGTTACTTCAAAAAACAGGGAACCTGGGTTTGATGGTACACACCGTTAATACCACTGCCCAAGAAGCAAAAGGAGGTAGATCTCTGTTTTCAAGGTTACCCTGCTGTACATAGAGTTTTAAGACAGCCAGGGTTACACAGGTATTCATGTGTCAAGGGAAAAATGAACAAACAAACAAATAAAGAATTAGAGAAGCAAAATTATTTTATTGGAAATAGGGGTGCATGCTTTGAGTCCAAGCTCTCTGGAGGCAGAGGCACACAAGTCACTGCAAGTCTGGTCTACATAATAAGTTTTAGGACTGCCAGGGCTATATGAGTTATAGAAACTCTGTTTCAAAATTTTAAAAAAAGCAGTGAAATAACATATAAAGCATCCCCTGACCTCACACAACCTCACACACACCAATATTTTTTAAAGATTAAACAGTTGGTGTGATGAAACACCATGACCAAAAGCAAGATGGGTAGAAAAGTTTTTAATAAATTATTACCTCCACATCATCGTCCATCACTGAAGGATATCAGGATAGAATATCAAACAGGGCCAAAATGTGGAGGCAGGAGATGATACAGAGGCCACAGAAGGGTTCTACTTACTGGCTTTCTCATAATGTAATTCTTGGCCTGCTTCCTTATAGACTTCATTATTACCAGCCCCAAAATGGCTTCACCCACAAAAGGCTATGCAATACCACTATAGGTTTTCCTAAAACTCACTCTTTTTTTTTTCTTATGGGGACATATTCTTAACTGATGCTTCACACTTTCAGATGATTTTTGCATGTTGCAAATTGATTCAAAATTTTGCAGCATTTTTAGCTCATGCTTCATTGCTGTTCATTATTGGTGGAAGTCAGGACAGGTTCTCAAGTAGAGGAGGGCTGCACACAGGAAGTGATCACTGGCCATGGAGCAATGCTGTTTTTTTATTTGCTCACTATGACTTGCTCAGTTTGCTTTCTAATGGAACCTAGGACCACATTTACCGAGATAGCACCGCACCCACAATGGACTGGGCCTTCCCACATCAAGAAATGATAAAGAAAATACCCTATAGGCATGTCTATAGCCTAATCTTATTGAGACAATTACTGAATTGAGTCTTCCTCCTCTCCAGTGAATCTAGTTTGTGGCAAATTGAAATAAAACTAATCACCACACCAAGAAATATGAAATAAAAAATTTTATGAATGTTTTAGACAAGATGGCAAACTGTTAAGAAATTGGTAATAACAGTTTAATAAAAGTATAAGCTAATGAATACTCAAATATAATTTTACTAAGTGGTAATTTACAAGATTCTTATGATACTAATGATAGTAACAGAACATGAAGAAAAACCTGCAGAAAAGGGTAAAGTTCTGAGAAATTTCTTATATTATTTCTAAATGTTTACCACATCAAATAACTTACATTGCAAATTAGAGAATACTTTATGAATTATTTACTCATTCAATTGGAGTAGATTAAGTTGAAACATCATACAATTAAATGATTTTTAATCAGTTAATTTAAAAGAAAATTAACCTACAAAGGTCTAGATATTTTCGACATTTGTATCTACATTCTATATTTATTTCTCCAAGTGATAGTTTGAGGTAAATGGTAGAAAACTCTCCACAGTGCTAATAATGACTGCTATCAGCACTCACCTGTGCAAACCATGACAAAGTCTCTTACATCAGAGAGGGTTTTACACACTTGAAGGGCTGCTTGGTTTTTTTGTTTCCAGATGTGCTGGAAAGTATCTTTATTTATCACACTTTCTTTATAAATTGTCCAGTGGATAGGGAGCTAGCAAACACAACCCGAGTGCCAGTTAAAGAATAAAGTGTTGATGACAAAATATCAGTGAATACAATACAGCAGACACCACAGTTGTACTTTTGAAATAGATTAATACAGCCCCAATACATGATAGACCTTCAAGAAACGATTTAGAGAATAGTCAGTGGTCATTCTGACTGTGTATGAAGAAAACATTACAGGGCTGCAATGCATAGAAGTAGAGACCACAATTATAAGGTCACAGACAAGAGTGGAGAAATGTGCTCAGGATAAAGATATATTTAGGGATAAAACTCTTTCCACTGCTGAGACACAGAAGGATAAAATGGACAGATCAATATAACATCACTATTAGACACCAGAGAAATGTCCTAGAAAAGTTGTAGGAACTCCATTTTTCTATCCTGTTACTTGGGTAAACATAATACAAATATAAGTATACACAGGAAAATATGCCTGGTAAGTGTATAAGACAAGATTGTTAATATTTTATAGTGAAAACACTCTTTTCCAGTAATGAACTATTTTGATCTTATTTCTGACTGTGTAAAATTTGACTATAAAAAATGGATAATTTTTGTAGGATAAAAATCCTTTCATTCTTCATGGAAAAGGCAACTCCTTATGGCTCATGTACCTGAAACTACTCTCTTTGAAGAAAAGGGCCTGTTGCTGGTTGATACACACGTGTACATTGGTACCTGGGGTGCTGAAGGTAGAGAAGAGAAGAAAAGGGGAGGAAGAAGTGGCCTTAACTACAATGAAATAGACAGAGCTTCACCCAGCATACAGTGTCCCTAGGATACTAGGCATATGACACATATTTGTGATGTTATTTAAGATGTGGTTTTTAAGCAATTGAGTCTACTATGAGTTACCTTGCTAAGATATGAACTGTGGCATATAGACATAAAATTTGGATCTGTGGCCATCTTTGCTGTGTTAGTCTCAAAATAAATACATCAAGACCCAAAATATCTCATGATTTTTTACTTCTGAACACATTTCTTCTTCTACTGTCTTTGATATTTGTACTTAACACCTCATCAATGACTTAACACACAGAAATGTCACACTGAGCAGAATTCACATTCCTCAGTATGTTTTCTTTCTTTCTTTTTATCTGTTTTTTTTTCTACTGATTTTCTCATATGTTTACAGACATTTATAAGCTTTATTTTTCTACCGCATTGTCTTTTTCACTGATATATAGAGATTCTGGATATATAGTTGGGATAAGCAGACTTTACCCCTTCTATAAAGAGAAAAGTTTAATTTTCATTACTTTCCTAAGAGAACATACTTTTCTGATGTTATTTCTCAATATTGCAAGTTTCAGAAAAGTTTAAAATTACCCTTAAGTGGCCATCGTCCCAGATAGAGTGTTCTGGGAACACACAAACAAAAAGAAGGAAAAGCACTAGAAACATATATGGCAAGCAGATAAGCATTTAAAATCTGTCTAAGAATAAAAAAGTTTAGGACAAAATAACAAAATAAAAAACAAAACAAAGAAATAAAAAGAAAAGAAAAAATGGACAAAGACATATCTAGAAGCAGAAACTGCTTGCCAATTTTAGTAGTGACAGTCCTCTTCTGAAATCAGCTGGCTGTAACCTAGTCAGTACTTGTCACTCAAGCAACATTCTATGCACTCAGGAGTCTCTTCACTCAGCTACATCATCTCTTCTTTTGGACTTCAAGAAAACCCAGAAATCCAAATTCATTCTTAGATTAATGTATCCATAGTCTGAAATCATAACTCTGATAATATTCAAACTATCTAGTGTTACATGAATGACAATCCAAAATCATGGATATTAAATAACAACAAGGAAAGTAAACTGAATAACATCAAATTTACACTTTTCCACATAAGGAAGAAAAGCAGTACACAAGAAAATACACTTGAAGAGATCTGAGAAAGGAAAAGAAGGACTGTGAGAAACTAAAGGAAGTTTTAATCCCTACATCCACTAAATCAAAAATTCTGAACTCTTAAAAAAAGTAATTCGACTTACTGTATACGATAATCTTGGTAATGGTAAGGAATATATTTATCAGGAACTTTACTACCTGTGTACAAAATATGAAGAGGGAAAAACGCACCAATTGTCACATCTCCTTGGTGGTAAAAATTTTCCTTGCTTGTTACATAGCATTCATTGTCAGTAAGGGCACACACAAAATTGGGAATATACAGGAGGCCAAAGGTAAAAATCCAGACCATCCTATTAACATATAAATCTGCCCAGCCATAAGACAGATAGAAACATATCCAATGATGCCTAGTAGGTATATATATGTTTCATGTGTTTGTGAACATTTTGTGCTTCTGACTGTTAATGAGTGCCTCTGTGTTGTCAATCACCCACACTTCAGGACACTTCCCCCACTGCCAATGAGAGTTGTGGAACTCTTTCTTCCCTTAGGCTCTGCATCTGAGGCCCTGTGTTCTCCTTAAAAACAAGTCAGAAAATATGTTTTGGATCTTCTACTCTAGCCAGAGGCAGCATGATTTCAGCCAAGAAGACAGCAGGAGCTAAAGGATCAACTTCCTACTGGGCTGTTTTGGCCAACGTTTTTTAAAAGTTCAAAACTTTTAATACAGTAATTTTGGCTGAGGATATCATGCTACATCAGAGGTTGCAATGTTAGATGAATTGGAGGAAGGTGTAAAAATGTCCACTCTAGTCATGCACAGGACAAAGCAGTGGGCCATGCAATTACAAACAAAAGACAACTTTTGGAGTTTACTCTTCCTGCTTAGTGACTCCTGTCCCAGAATTTTTGTCTGTGATATACTTTTATCTGTAGAAAAATATGATGTCTGCCTCCAACAACACCAGCAGTTTATTTCTCACATGTAAAATTTAATAGTCCTGCTGCATTTCTCACTTCCAAATATCTACCTGATATCAATGAGAAAAATCAAGTCTCCTGCTTATATTCTGAAATTTGAACTTCTCTACTCCTAGTCTTCTTTAATGCAAGGTTAATCTTTGAGTAGAGGTGTCATGGTGATCCATTCCTGCATCTAGAGCAGTATGTTCACACCCTGCTTCCATGCCTTAAAAAGAGTAGGGTGTTTTTTCTTTTTTTCTTTTTCTTTTTGTGTTTTGTTTTTCGAGACAGGATTTCTCTGTTTAGCACTGGCTGTCCTGGAACTCATTCTGTAGACCAGGCTGGCCTCGAACTCAGAAATCCTACTGCCTCTGCCTCCAAAGTGCTGGGATTAAAGGCATGCACCACCACCACCACCCAGCAGATTTTTTTTGAGGGTGTTTCTTATTTATGTAAAATTATGATAACTTAATGTCACTACAGTGTATCCTTTCACTTCAGGTGCTGAGGGAAGCAATCTTCAGCAGGGTTCTATTTCTAGCCACCTGCAATTTTGGACAGTGAATGTATTATGTGTTATGATATTGTAATGAAACTAGGGCCTCCAAAAATGTTGACTTTCCTACACAAGAATGGGAGAAGAGGGTGAACAAAATCCCAAATGAAACAAAAATAAAAGTGCTATCATAAGAAATGTTAACTGGTCACACAGTAGCTTGTTGGGATTGTCTTTTTGCTTTAGGTTAACAATATGCAATGAGTACATAGAAGAGAGATCCTGTCTATTATAAGACTGAAGGCAATGAACAGGCACAGGGAAACCTACTGCTCAGTAAGTCAGAGTTCAGGGCAATCATGGGTAAATGAGTAAGCTTATGAGTCACTCAGTGCGAATATGTTCCTTCCTTTGTATCTGAGTACTAAATTTGAAGAACAGGAAGTACATTGACAATTTTTTTTCTTTTGTGAGCAACACATAAGCAGGTAGGACCATGGGGTTTATCTACTACATCGGCATGAGTAACAATTTACAAGTCAACCAGAATTAATATGTCCCTTTATGTACCAGGAGATCACTAAGCTATAAAATATGTTCATTGTCAGGTTTTGTACAGCTCTGTATCATAGAAGCAAACAATAAACAGCACTGGTTCCTCCGTTCTCCATGTGGCCGATCATTAAACAACCTGTAGACGTTGTGCATGATTACATTAGATAAAGCAGGCAGGTCTAGAGTTGTCACAATCAATAAGTCTAGTGGCACCAGTGAAAAGAGTGCCAAACTTTACATTGGTAAGAAAAAAAATAGGAATTTGTTTATAAGTATCCTTTGTGACTATGAAGTATCAACTTCATGACTAGATATAAAAAGTCAGGAGATAAGGGTGTCATGCAGCAGCACAGGGTGTGTGACTGGAGACAAAGAACAGACGTGTATTCATATGAAGTCAGACATTCTTAGAGGGTTTTATTACATTAGCTGGAATGCTCTAAATTCATGAAAGCTTTTGAAAAAAAATTCTTCAATTCCCATCCCTTTAAAACAGTGTGTTAAAAGGGGGAAAAAACCCTAATGATATGGACAGATACAAAAAGCATGCTGTAACTCCTCCCATCTCCCCAAAAGCTATCTGGTGACAAAGGAGTTTCAGAAAGCAGAATGTTTTAAAATTCACCAGGTAGGGAATCTCCAGTGTGAGGAACCCACTGTTCTGACCTGGTGCCTCTGTTAACTCTTGACAGACCAATTATTCCTACAGTGTAACTCTACATTTCACACGCATGTGTGAAATGGGATAAACAATATGTCCGTATCCCACATAAGTCAAGCTTAAAAGTTTTTTCTAAATACTGTGTGGCACTAGGAATTCCATGCTGCATCAAGTCAGTACCAGTAGAAGCTATTGGACTCCATAATGAAACAGGTAGACATTTACTGAAAACCAATACAAAAATCTGGCCCCGAAAGTCCAGAATGGTAATGTGCAATTTTCTTAATTAAGATGGTCAAAAATGTGGGTGTTGTTAAGATAGAAAGGAAAGAGGCCTCAATACATTAGACAAATGTGTGTGAAGCCTTTGAGTGTGTGCCGACTTTATCATGACAACTCCAGCTGATTTGTTACGAAGGATAGGAATACACATCTACAGCAGTGCACATGAGAAATAAACTGTGAAAAAGGCAATTTCTTGGATTTAGGAAGGACCGTGTTCTGAGAAGTACTTCAGAGGAACGACAGTAGTTCTAGGATTATAGCCAAGAAGGACTAGAAGACTCAGAAGATGTCTCAGCTTCTCCGGGATTTTGAGTGTTGAATAAGCCACTGAAGTGTGACATCTATATTATCCTTTTCTTTGCAAGAAATTAAATAGCAGCAAATTTCTCTATCCTGAATAACAGACAGGTTCATTTTTTCAATTAGCTGTTTCTCATCCAAGGCATTTGGAAGATCTCTCTTGTTTCCAAGTACTAGTACTGGAATTCCTTGTAACTGTGGTTTACCTAGAAGATTATGCAGTTCATTTCGAGAGGCCTCTATCTTTTGTCGATCTGCAGCATCTATCATGTAAACAATTGCATTGACTCCTCTGCAATACCGCTCCCACATGCTCCGGAACCGGGGTTGTCCTCCTATGTCCCAGATCTTTATTGTGACGTTGCCTTTAGTTACTTTCCTCATGTTGAAGCCCACTGTGGGTATCGTATCTTCACTGAATTGACCAGACGCGATGACATTGACGAAGATGATCTTGCCTGAGTACTGCAGCCCCACGAGCATCAGTTCCATCTCCTCCTTCCAGAAGAGCGAGCAGAACCAGTCCAGCAGGCGGTAGATGAGCGCCAGCATGGCAGCAGCCGGCAGCGAGCGGGGACAGGCTCGGACAACAGCAGACACTGCTTCCCACGAGTGGGTATCTGGCCCCGAACCTGCCAAGGGCTCTTCGGTGGGGCCCCTGGCGTGACTCGGGCAGACACAGGCAGGCGGCTGCGACAGCTGGAGCCAGGAATCCGACAAAATTTTCAACAAGATTTTTTTTTGATGAAGTTTAACCATAAAACTTAATCACATGGGATTGGAGAATTTTCCCGGAAAAATGACTGGGTATCTATAAAATTATTTTTTTTTCTTGGCAAGAGTGATTAAGAAAATATAATCTAATTAAAACTGACATTAACATCATAATCTAAGAAGAATAAAAATCTAGCTTGTCTTAGAGTTTTAAGGACAAACATTAAAAGAAAATGAATTAGTTAGTCAATAGATGAGATTGCCTGTGATGTATGTGTTGATGTCCTGACTGTTAAGGTGCAAGTGTGCAACCCTGATTCTCCTGTATTCGTTTATGGCAAGAAAAAAGAATGTTAACACTATGCTTACACATATCTATATTTAACTATTTATCTATCTGTCTATCTCTATCTATCATCTATCTATCTATCTATCTATCTATCTATCTATCTATCTATCTATCTATCTGAGATATAAGAGTAATATGAATTTATAATTCCTCTAAACCTGTATTCTTCTTGGTTTATTTAAAATCTTTTATAAAGACACACTTTGTAGATATTCCAACTGGCACACATAGAAAGTCTGTAGTCACCATATTTTAACTAGTTAAAGATAGATATACAATGCCTTGCTAGCATTCTTTAATTTCCCTATCCATATTTGAGACCCACGATCACTTCCCACTGTCAGAGGAAACTTTATGAAGATTCTTCTTTTTTCTAATTATTGAAAGAGAGAGGATTAAGCCATGAGAAAGAAGACCTGAATTCAGTCTGTATCCTAAAACACTAGTAGACATAGTAAATCAAGGCCCCAGTTTTATAGATGAAGATGTGGCTCAGCATATAAAGTTACTTGCTGCACTTTCAGAACACTTGGGATCTATTTCCAGCACTAAAATTGTAACTCAGAATGACTGGTATCTCCAGGTTTAGGGAACCAAAGCCTATTTCTGGTCTTCACAAGCACAAGCATGCATGATTTGCACAAGCTCTCATGTGGGAATACAGCCAATGTACATAAGATAAAAATAGCAAATTGTTTTAATCTTCACAAGACTGCTTTGAACTTCCCCTTCTGAGCAACATAAACACTTCTAATGAAAGAAGAAAGGTGATTTGTGAAAAAATCACCACCTACCCCAACAAAACTACTAATTCAACATATGTAAATTCCAATGTAAAATGATATCATTGTTTTAACTAAAAACAACAATTTTTAAATGCATGAAAAAACAAAGTAACAGTTCAAATCCAAAAATTAAAAGTCCCATGGAAATGAACCCCTAAGGAGAAAATTGAAAGAAATTACAAAGAATTCAAAAGAGTGACTGTAAATACAGTCAAAGTACTTGAAGAACACAGAGTCAAGG